AAAAAAAAAAAAAACCCAATATAAATAAAAGTATGCTTGCAAAAAAAGTGAACAAAGTGCTTGGTTTGCTTTTATATCTTGTTATATATATTGCTTAAAACATGAATTCCCATCTAAACCAGGTAATTATGCTGTGCAGACCTCATTTAAAGAAAACTGGACAGGGGCGCCCGGGTGGCTCAGTCGGTTCAGCGTCTGCCTTGGGCTCAGGTCATGATCCTGGGGTCCTGGGACTGAGCCCCACGTCAGGCTCCCTGCTTCACAGGGAGTCTGCTTCTCCCTCTGCCCCTCTCCCCTCTCGCGCACGCTCTCTCTGTCTCTCTCAAATAAATCGTAAAAAAAAGAGGAAAACTGGATATACAGAGTGCAAAAGTGGGGTTTTACACAGCGGCTCCCATAAATCATTCAAGGCAAAAGTCTGATCCCTTTCCCCAAGAGTCTTTTAGATATGCGGTCAGCTCCATCAGCTAGCAGGCCCCGTGGGCCTTCCCCCTGACCCTCTACTGACCAGTTCTCCATGGCGTACTTTGCTTTGAACAGAATTCAGTTTATTTTTATATCCTTAAAGATGTTCCTCTAGTTCAAAAAAAAGCTTCTACACATATGGAATGATGCCCAACTTCAGTCATAATGAAAAACGCCCACTTCAACAACGAAGCCATTTTTCACCTGTCACATGCACAAAGAGAACAGAAACTAACTGAAACTACTTCTGCTAGAGTGGACGTGAGCCTGAAACGTGGTCCAAGGAACGTGGAGGTGACTACCACAGCTTATTGCGCACAAACCGTCTGATCCAGGTCCCTCCGGGCTGGAAGCGGACCGTTAACGATCCATCTGTAGTGCAGGTACACAGACTCGGGGACAGGCACCCCTCGCTGCCGCACGGTGTCTTAGAGGTACTCACCACAACCGGCAGAAATGTCTGTCTCTAGAGGATCTATAAGACAGCAGAGGATCCAGACCGTGCAGCACCGTGGGGTCATTAAGAAAAATCAGGAGTCAGACCTCAGCGCACTCAACGTGCAACAATCTCCACAGATACACATGTATCTTAAAAAGAAGCAAAAAAAAAAAAAAAAGAACGAAATAAATGAAGAATAAAAAGTTAGCCTTAGGGCGCCTGGGTGGCTCAGTCGTTAACCGTCTGCCTTCGGCTCAGGTCATGATCCCAGGGTCCTGGGATCGAGCCCCAGCATCGGGTTCCTCGCTCGGTGGGGAGTCTGCTTCTCCCTCCCCCACTCCCCCTGCTTGTGTCCCCTCTCTTGCTCTCTCTGTCAAATAAATAAATAAAATATTTAAAAAAAAAAGTTAGCCTTAGAGTACATTTGTAGCCGGCATTCAAACACCCACCCTTCTTAGGGTCATTCTTTTAGTCTTGATCACAGAGCAATAAATAAACGTCCTTTGGGACATTCCTGCAACAGAACATGATGGCACGGCTGGTGGTTTTCTGGGGACCAGAGCTCCTGCTGACTCGTAGAACAAAGGCACACAGAACCCCAAAGGCTTCTCGTCTCTAAAAATGGAACAAGCTCAATAGTTCTTATTATAAAAGTAGTATGTGTACTTAAAGGTACACTTTAAAATGGTTAATAGGGTAAATTTTATGCTGTGTGTACTGTACCACGATATTTTTTAAAAATTAAAACTGTAAGAATGGGGGGCGCCTGGGTGGCTCAGTCGGTTGCGCGGCTAACTCTTGATTTTTGTCTCAGGTCGTGATCTCAGGGTCCTGGGATGGAGCCCTGGGTTGGGCTCCCTGCTCAGGAGGGGGTCTGTTTCAGGATTCTCTCTCATCTCTGCCCCTCACCCCACCCCCGCTTGCTCTAAGAAATACATAAATCTTAAAAAAAACCAAAAAACCCCCACAAAAAACCCTGTAAGAATTGGATAGACACAGTTCTCCAACCGCTTTTATGTGTTGCACTTAGCTGGGCTTTGTGGGGCATCTTCCATGTCAGCAAATGCTGATATCACAGCAGTACTTTACACCGTGGATGGTCTCTAATTCATGTCATTTCCCTTTACCGAGTATCTGGGAGCCCAGAAACGAAAACTGTGGGTCCAAGATATGGCTTCTGAAACACACGTTGTCAAACCACCCACCAGAAAGTCCGTCTAATCTGTATCCTAACTGGCAGTATATCAAGTACATGCTTATTTCCCCACAATCTTACATCTCACCAACGATGGGCCTGGCTACTGGTAAATCCCTGTCAACTCGACAGTCAAAACCTAGTGTCTCATTTCCAAGGAAGCCTGCAGATTTGTACAGGAGACCAAGGAGGGCAACCCGACTCAGCCTGGGGGCCGGCCGAGGAGTCCCAGAGACAGTGAGTGCATAAGGCCTAGCTCAGCTCAGGGGGCCAAGCTTCCGTGCCCGCCATCACTGCGCCGTTTCCCTCGGGGCACTGTGAGGACACCCACCCCGCGCCCACAGAGGGATAACCGTACGATGTTACAGCATCTGTCCCACCTCAGCCTCTCGAAACGGCTCCCAAACCGCTATCCGAGTTTATTCTTCTCATTTACAAAGACGGTAGCCTGTACCACTTACAAATGAGGTTGCTAATTCAGTGCGACAACGAATTAAGAGTTTTTTCTTCCTTGTTTTTGAGCCTCCTCCTTCGCTTTGGTTTGAGTCCAAAAATAAGAGTAAAGTCCTTTGGGAACAGGCCTTCAAGGCAGTATTAAAAACTAAAGTAAATGATTGAGTCCATTTATTTTTAAAAAATTTACAGCCAAGGGGCGCCTGGGTGATTCTGTTGGTTCAGCGTCTGCCTTTGGCTGAGGTCATGATCCCAGGGTCCTGGGATTAAGTCCCACATCAGGCTCCCTGCTCCACGGGGAGCCTGCTTCTCCCTCTACTTTCTCCTTCTGCCTGCCACTCCCCCTGCTTGTGTGCACTCGCTCTCTCTCTGTCAAATAAGTAAATAAATAAATCTTAAAAAAAGATTTACAGCCAAACTTAGAAAGACTGCACTAATTCTGCTTAAAAAAAGGGGGGGGGCGGGGACATGCAAACACTTTACTATGAATTAGCCAACTTACAAAATGCAAGGTGGAGAACAAGTTCTTTATGAAGACAAATCCCAAGTACCTTTACGGGGGTCCAGGAGTACTGTTGTAGCTCCCATGTCTAAAAGCATCACATTCTCAGCTCTGCTTTTCTAACCCCTTCAAGTCCTCCAAACTTCCAGGGGCAATTTGATTTCTAGGAACAGGCAGCCTGCTCCCCGCCCCACCCCCCCCTGGAAACTTAACGTCTGTGCGCAGTCATGCTCTACTTTTGCGTAAAAAACGAAAACGCAGTGGCACAACACTTTATTTGGAACAGAAGCATAGCTCTCTGCTAATGATCTACATACTGTTGAAAAAAAGAGTCTTTCAAATTCACTTCATAAATCAAATGAACAATCCCTAGTAATACAAGAAGGCATCTTTTAAGTTTTTGATGCTGGATTCATCCTTGGCCAAGAGATAGAATTCTGTGTGTGCGCACATGCTTTCATCCTTGGCCAAGAAATAGAATTTTATGTACACACACACACACACAAATCAAGTCCAAACTGGGATTGCTCGCAGGGAGACAGATCGGCCAAGCTGACTTCACGTTTTGCTATTTGACTCACTCCTGTTTGTAAAGATGGCATGAGGCATGGGTCTTACCTTTTCACTACCAGCTTCAGGGTTTTATGAGACCCCTTCACCAGGCAAATCGCTTCCTGTCTAAACCCTGAGAGACCGATGTCGTTGATGCCGACGATCTCGTCCCCAGCCAGTAACTTGTCCACTGCCGCAGCTTTACTTCCTTCTTCAATCTGCAACAAAGAAGTATGTCTCATGAGTTTCCAAACAAGCGAAGCAGGCACCCAGAACTCGGCCAGAAACAACACAGCTGTGACATATGCGGCCCGCAGGCTCTGTGACGGGCTCTGGGATCAGCGTGGACCCCTCCTGGGCCCTGAGGCTGCACTGATTCCTATTTGTGGAACAAGGGACACATCCCTCACCCAGGGCCACCTCTGCACGGACGAGGGCTACCCATTCACCGAGGGACTAGGAAAGAGCATGTGTGCTCAGGAACACTCACAGCCTGAAAGAGTGGATCCAAAGACATGGGGGTTCGTCTTCTGGATTTCCTTTATCCAAACAGTTAAGGATGGATTATTTTCGTGATTTACTATTTCTCGTACATTAATCCCATACCTGCATTTTTGCAACTGCTTGACTGAGATAGAATTCAAATACCAGCACGCTCACCCATATAAATATACAAGTGAACAGCTATTCAGTATATTCACAGGCCTGTGCAAGCAACACGTCCCATTGTGGAACGCTTCCCTAAGCCTAGAAGAAACCTGGTGGCTGTGGGCGGTCACTTCCTGATCCCCTCTAGCTCCCCCACCCCCCGACCTACTACTACCTGTCTCTACGCATTTGCCTATACTGGACAGCTCATATAAAAAGAATCCTACAGGGCCCCTGGGTGGCTCAGTCGGTGAAGCGTCTGCCTTCGGCTCAGGTCATGATCCCAGGGTTCTGGGATCAAGATCCACATCGGGCTCCCTGTTCGACGGAGAGACTGCTCCCTCTGCCCCTCCCCTCATGCGCGCTCTCTCGCTTGCAACAATGAATAAATAAAATCTTAAAGGACAAAAAAAGAATCCTACAACATGTGGCATCTTGTGACTGGCTTCTTTCACTGAGCATAATGTTTCAAGGCTCATCCCCACGGTAGCACCTGTTAGTACTTGATTCCTTTTTGTGGCTGAATGATATTCCGTCGTACGGGAGTACCACGTTTTTTTGTTTTTTTAAAGATTTTATTTTTATTTATTTGACAGAGAGAGAGAGGCAGCCAGAGAGGGAACACAAGCAGGGCGAGCAGGAGAGGGAGAAGCAGGCTTCCCGAGGAGCAGGGAGCCCGATGCGGGGGCGCGATCCTGGGATCATGACCCGAGCCAAAGGCAGATGCCCAACGACTGAGCCACCCAGGCGCCCCCGGAGTACCACGTTTGATTTAACTACTTGTCCCCTGCTGGATACTGGAGCTTTTCCTTTCTGGCTATTATGCTGCTATGAACACGGGCGTTCAGGTTTCTGTGTGAGCATGTGTCTTCATTTGCCGGGGGTCTGCACCTGGGAATGAAGCTCCTGGGTCATAGGGCGAGCGTGGTGAGCATCCGGGCTGTCAGGCTGTCCGCTGCTGCTGCACCATTTTATCGTCCGTGTGCGTACGAACGTTCCGATTCCTCCACAGCCCTAACACGTAACAGTTTCTTTGACTACAGTCCTAATTAGGTTATGCCATACTGTGCATATTACGGCATTCACGACTCTGTGCTAAACACAAATGTATGAACACGTACTGACTCATGAAAAGCTTGAATGTTGTCCATCTGATAACTTTAATCCTAAGAGATCTTGATGTTTAATCCTAGCTTTTCCTATACAGTAATAATCAACTTAGCAGCAACTAACCCAGCCTGCTTTCTGTACTAGCACTTGGCAAACTATGGCCCATGAGCTATACACCTGGCCAGCTGCCCCTTTTTTTTTTTTTTCCCCAGTAAATAAAAATTTTACTGGACTACAACCACACCCACTTGTTTACATACTGCGACAGGACAGAACTGAGTATTTTGGCCCACAAAGCCAAAAATATTTGATCCCCTCTTGGCTTGTTACAAAAACAAGTTCGGCAACCCCGGTTTTATACCAAAAAGCTATTATCTTTACAAACTGCTAGGAACACTAGGGAAAAAAGTTAACGGTTACGAGCTTATCTGTGTAGAGTCTGAAAGTTCACTGCTTGACTGTTTGCCGTGGCTAAGCTAAGAATTACTTTCCAAGCCCTCACAAGGTGCTAGAGCACTACATTTCTCCTACGTAGCTAAAAAGCCGGGTACTAAGCGACTGGCCATGCCTCAGTTCTGCGAATGCACGGTATTTTCCTAAAGCCTCCACCTACATCCAAGGACAGCTGAACTCCTCAGTTCACAAAGCAATTATTCATTGCACGTGAACACCATAAACAAAATTAAACAACTACTCCTCACTGAATGGACTGCTTCAAATTTTGGTTAATAACTGGTTTCAAAAGTCTAGACAATTTTATCCCAACATAGTAACAGATTGTAAGTTTCCACCCGCACAAGATTACAGCCTCAGCCATGTATAGGCAAGGTGCAGGTCACACGTGGTGGAGAGCTTGGGTTTTGACATGCCCCGTGGGAGAGGCCAAGGGGCCGTCCCAGTGGAGGGTGCAGTGGGCAGCTGGTGGCGGGAGGGCGGCTCCCAGGGACAGGTGGCCTACACATGGAGACACCCCCAGCAGAAGGTACTTAAGGACAAGAGGGGTGGGGAGACTGAAGGACACTGCCCAGACAGGAGACAGAGTCTCGGGCAGAGAACCGCAGAGAAGGAAACCCTGGGTCCCCAGGGGTTAGAGCTTTGGCAGAGGAGGGGCCAGGTGAAAGGGCAGGAGATACAGGAGGCAGAAGCTGCCACCACCAGAGCGGGTGGAGAAACCCCCCGGGGAAGCTTAGCAACGCTCCAGCTGGGCTCACTACCTGGGCCCGCAGCACCTGTCCCCCCACACAGGGACCTGAGGGCTGCAGACTCTCAAGGCAGGTGGCAGTCCTTCCAGGACTGCCTGGATCCGTTTCATCTCCTCCCACCCCGCCTCCCAAGCACTGGGCATAAGGACTGTAAGGGCAAAATCTAGAATGTAGAAAGAATGCATGTAGATAGCAACTTGGGTCTGCACTTAGTAACTACTGCTTTAAATACTAGCAGTTAAATGCTTTGGTGGGGTGAGTACAAAAAGGTCGACAGGTCACATGCATGCGTTGAGCTCAGAGTTGGTATTTATTCTTTCAATAAGTATCTATTTTTTTTTAAAGATTTTATTTATTTATTTGACAGAGAGAGACAGAGCGAGAGAGGGAACACAAGCAGGGGGAGTGGGAGAGGGAGAAGCAGGCTCCCCGTGGAGCAGGGAGCCCGATGCGGGGCTCGATCCCAGGACCCTGGGACCACGACCTGAGCCGAAGGCAGACGCTTAACAACTGAGCCACTCAATAAGTATCTAGTGAGCAAGTACTCTGCACAAACAACTGTGCTGGATAGTGTGTGTGTGTATGTGCGTGTGTGTGTGGGGGGGGGACGGTGGGTCTTACAAGCTGGAGTTCCTGCCTTGAAGACATTTCTAGGCTTCAGAGACCAACACTTCTCAAACTGTCATATGCAGCAAATCTCCCAGGGTTTAAAATGCAGATCTGATTCAGCAGGTCCAGGGTAGGGCTTGAGCTTCTGCATTGTTTTAAAAGGTTTTATTTATTTGAGAGAGAGGAGAGAGGAGAGAGAGAGAGAGAGAGAGAGGGAGAGAGAGAGAGAGGGAGAGTGCATGCAGCAGAGGGAGAGGGAGAAGCAGACGGCCTGCTGAACAGAGAACCTGGTGCGGGACTCGATCCCAGGACCCTGAGATCATGACCTGAGCCGAAGGCAGATGCTTAACCCACTGAAGTCACCCAGGGGGCCTGGCCTGTATTTTGAATGGTTTTCAGAAATACACATTTACAAGGTACAATTCATTCCGTCACCGATTTTTCAGGACAGAATTTTATTTTACCTTTCAACAGTTACGCATTCCAAGTGGAAACAACTGAAATGTCCATCAAGAAGTAAACGCATAATGGACATGTGGTCCATCCATACGATGGAATGTAGGTCAGCCTTAAAAAGGAAGGACGTTCTGACAGCTGCTACCACATGGATGGACCTTGAGGACGGCACGTGCAGTGAAATACGCCACCACGGAAAGACAGGGACTGTGTGATTCCGCTCGTATGGGGGACCCAGAGGAGGCCAATGCACGGAGACGGCACCTAGAGTAAAGGTCAGCAGGGGCCGGGGGAGTGGGAATTATGGATTTGTGGGTACAGAGTTCCAGTTTGGGAAGATGAAAAACTCCCGACAACGGCTGATGGTTGCACTACGCGAATGTCGTCAATATCACGGAGTCAGACACTTGAAAGTGGCTGAAATAGTTAAGTTTCGTGTTACGGTACATTTAGTGTGATCACACCTTCCTGAGTATCTAACAAGAAAAGGATTCTGAGCCGCTACAAGAGTTGTAAGTGTCCTCCCTACAGTGAGTGCTTCTGAATTTCAGTATTACGAGAAAGTCTTGAGGCAAAACCACTATGATGAAGGCCCTGCAGGGTCGTAGGGCCGGCGTTGAAGGCAGCACGCCCTGCGGGGACACATCACCGGGATCTGGCTCTCGCCTACCACTGGGTGGGCTTTTCAGTCTCATCCCCACAGACCCTTCTAGGAACCAGTTCTGTGAGACTCTTGTGAACCACGGTCATCTACTCTGGCTTCAGCACGAAGATCTGAGAAGACTCCTCACGTTTGTCCCCTATAAATGAAGACCGCCTTGCAAAGCATCCTTCTGCCTCGCCCTAACCACAATCCACCTACACATCCCAGAAAAAACAGGTGTGGGTTTGGGAGATAAAGCAGCTGGGTTTTTAGCCACCCGCTGGCTTCCTTGCCAAGAGAAAGTTTCTCTTTGATATTTATTGTGCTTACGGGGAAAGTAGCTATAAAAGAAAAAGCAGCTGTGAAAACTTCCATTCTATACTTCCCCACCACCCCCAAACCTTAGGTAGGATTCATGAGGTTTTGAACTTGGTGAAGAATAAATCTGACGTCCGCGTTCGCCAAGGAGACAAGGACGCCACCTGCCAGCATTTTACAGTAAATCACACATGCGACATCGATGATCACCCCGTCCCGGTGCCTGGGACTA